AGAGAGGGGAGATGGGCTGGTTAAGAGGCACATAGGTGAAGATGTTTTTTTGTTTTTTTTTTAGGGGGGGGTGCGGAAAAATGCGTCTTTGCCTATGTACCCAAAAAACCTTGCACCAGCCCTGCATGGATACCAACATTTGAAAAAATTATCCGGAACACTTTGGTGTCATGTACACACACAAATGTACACAGACACAGAGATACACACAAAATAATGATATGCATAATACACACACATAATGACACTTTCAGATACATACAGGTACACACAAACACACTCACAGATAAGCACACTGACAAGATGATGCACACACAAACTCACTAACACACATTGAAAAAGAAAACACAAATTTCTGGCCACCATTCTGCATTGCCTTGGGTGACTACACTAGCAGGACACCCTAGAAGTTCTGTCCCTAGCATGTGGTGCGTTTCCTAGGAGCAGTTGGCAAATTCAGGACAGTTGGCAATTATCAGGGATATTCATTAAAGGCACCCTATAGTCACCAGAACAACTACAGCTTATTGTATTTGTTCTGTTGAGTAGCATCATTTCCTTCAGGGTTTTTTCAGAGAAAATGCAGTGTTTACATTACAGCCTAGTGATAACCTCACTGGCCACTCCTCAGATGGCTGCTAGAGGTGCTTCCTGAGGCAGTGCTGAGTGCTGCACTGCCATTTAATGTCTCCATCCTCACTAAACTTTCCTCATAGAGATGCATCGATTCAATTAATCTCTATGAGGAGATGCTGATTGGCCAGGGCTGTTTTTGGCTTGTGCAGCTCTTCTTCTGATCTGCCTCCTTGACAGTCTCAGCCAATGCTATGGGAAAGCATTGTGATTGGTTCAGAACACCACTTCTGATGATGTTTGTGTTCCCGACCCTATAGTGCTCCTTTAACCCCTTAAGGACACATGACGGATATATTCCGTCATGATTCCCTTTTATTTCAGAAGTTGTGTCCTTAAGGGGTTAATGTGAGAAGTCAAAATGAATTCATTGTGAATTTCAAATTTAAGGTCAATAGTCAAACTGGTTTCCAGCCAGCTACTCTGAACTTAAATTTTAAATTCACTTTGAATTCTCACTTTAGTGAATAGTCCTGTATGTTCTTTGTGCCTCCAGAAGTGGGATCCTAGCTGTTGTTGGATAATGGGCTTTATTAGTAGAATGCATTATTTATATAGTCCCAATATATTCCACAATGGTTTACAAGATCTAAAAGACCCATTCAGACACATACCTTCCAAACATAAGGAAATCGGATTTTAGGAAGGGAGCTTGCCTGGCGAAAGAGGGGGAAGGACAATGATGCCAGGCATCCAATATGTTCAGTAATGCTCCCAGCTGTGCCAAGCCATTGTCACCCATATGAAAGCACATTTACTAAAGTACTCACAATGCAGAGTGCAGCTTAGGTATCTTAAAGCGTGATTGTTCCCTGGTGTCCAGGATTATTGGGATAACACGAGGTGATACGGGTCCTATAGTGTATTCATACCTCCCAATATTTCAAATGGACTAAGAGGGACTCTTTTATGGGTGTGAGCATGTGTGGCGAGTGGCGGGGCTGTTCTAGGAAATTTTAGGTTCTTACTACTAACAATTTATGGAACTAAAATGTAATTTAGTACTCAGACTGATTTTTAAACACATTTATTGTAGTTTAAAGACACATTATTGCGAGTGTTATTGCTGTGTTATACACACAGACATACCAACAATATGGAGCACCCAGAAAAGAGGGATGTTAGGACAGAAAAGAGGAACAGAGGGATTTGGGGCCATAATGTAATTTCGGAGACCTCCCGTTGCATCCAATTATGGGGTCCTGACTGTTAAGTCAGTAAGCTTCGCTATTTAGGCAACATAAAAAACATGGTGAATTACCTCCTCCAGTTTTCAAATATGGGGGATATTTTATGTTGCATTTCTGAATGCTAAACATATTCATAGAAAAAAGGGAATGTATAACATACTTTTTTTGTTGAATTATTTCTGTAGCTTTTGGCAAAATAAACGCTTCATCTTTTTGTGAGAGATTTTCGATTTATAAACATTTCGAACAGTCAATGAGAATTATACATTGCTTTTTTCTATTTTTTTTTTATCCCTAATATTGCTTTTTTTTTTTTTTTTTAAAAACCACAAAGCCTCCAAAACAAAAAGAAAAAAAATATTGTTGCTTCCCACTAGCATTTAAAATGACAGAACCTTCTCAGTGACAGTGCACACATTTTGGATGCACAAAAAAAAATAATGATGAAAAATATGTTCTTTAAGAAAGGAGTACCAGATGTTAATAAAAGGTTGTACCCCTCTTTCCCTTCCCCCCTCCCCCACCCCAGGTATCAGTATTCCTACAAAAATACCTACTTTTAATATCACATGCTGGGTTAACTTTTCCACCTCTAAATGTATTTACAATGTCTGCCTATGCAGTAATAATAATTAGTGATGGCCTGATTTGGCACAGAAAGAATGACACACCTCCCTGCCAGCCTGCCCTTGGTTCTGAGGTCTGTGCAAGGTTGTCCTTCTTCCCCAGGTAGGTGCTGGATTAAACAGGTCTGTAATAGCAGACAGTCATTAGGGCATACACAGAACAAGCACTCAGCCTTTTTCTGGATTGGAGTTGCCAAGGTGTTATCAGGACCCACCCACAGTGACACAGTGACACATGCACAGTAACCACTACATTTGACTTTCACTCTAGTCCAAGGGCTTAGAGAGAACCGTAAGGACATTTAAAGAAATAGTCATGGAGACCCTGGGAGTTCAGATGTTCTCTCCACACTTTTGTCTGTAAGTAAATCAGTGCATGTGCATACAGCACAGAGGGGGATGGACCCTTATCTTAGGGAGGCTACTGTGTATCTAAAGCTAGATTGTGATCAGGAAGCACCTAGATAACAAAGCCATATCCATGTCAGTGTTTAACCCCTTAACTGACAGAGGGAGCCCTTTAAAAAAAAATACATATTAAAACCTTTTTCATTTCTTCTAGATGTATACAGTTCTTAATCTACAATCATTGTACTGCGCTGTGGAATATGTTAGAGCTATACCAATAATCAATAAATATTGCATGTAGTTATAAAATGTTTGCAACTGGATATTGAGTTGCTGTTGATAAATGTATACATGTCAATATTGAAATTTTTTTGGACCATGTAATTTAACTTACTGTAGGAAAACCAGTTTTGGACTATTTAGATTGTAAGCTCTGTGAGGCAGTGATCTCTAAGGTTGGTATACTTACTGCACATTTTTCTTTTTTTATCAACTGTCTATTAAGGGTAAAGTACAGTGTGTTTAAGTTACCAGCCTTCAAATGCAAACATATATCCTTAAAACTATTACCTCTGCATCTGAAAGTGAGGGACCACGTTCTCTTGGTTTGTGTACATGCCGATGTGTTGTTTCACATATACTAATATTAGCAGTGTGCTTAGGGTATTTCCAAAAGTAAAGCTACCAGGTCAACTTAATTTATTTACTCTAATTATTATAAAACATATTTTTATTAATTTGGGGTTAAGAGACCACACAGTTTCATTAATGAAATGTGTACATCTCTGCAATAAGCTTTATCAATCAGCATCCCAAGATGAAAATTGAGATATGGCCACACATGATTACAGTTCAAAATAGTATTAGCAATTTATTAATCAAACTGATGGGGTTTATTCACTGGACAGTGAATTGTAGTGAATTGAAAAAAAAGGAAATTCGAAATTTAGTCAACAATAGCCAAGCTGTTATTAAAGCTGATTATATTATAAATCTGGTGTACTTTTATCATTCGTTACCCAGAATTCATTATACTGCAGATTTGGCATTGTATTTCGAGAGTTAAACACGACTGTTGAAGTGCCCGTTTCTCTACCTGGTTGCAAAATTTACAATCTGTAAAACACCTGGCATAGAATGACGGGATTAATATCTCAGAGGACACCTGTCTATTCTAAGGGTTTTAAATTCTATATGCTCTAAATTGTACACCATGCACTTTGGAAAATTAACTGTTTGCAAACTAGTGCTGACATTCAGAAAATATGACAATAATAAATCGTGTCCTCTCTGCAATCACCCCGAGTTACCTTATTTAATGGAAATGTATCTGTGTCCACTCTGTGAGTGGGTATGAGTTGTTAGCAGTACACATTCCTTGCCCACAAACATGACTTTTAAATATAATAGATAATCGTAAATCCATGTGCTTGTTATTGTCAAATGAGGGTGTCACAGAATGTGTGACATATAAAGGATAATGTTTCTTTAAATTTGCATATGAATCTGCATTCATAACTCTTTTAGAATCATTGAAATTGCTAGGGCTGTCATAACAACCTGAGATTTGGTAGGTCCTGCAAGGAGTTAAAGGTGTAATGCATTCATGTAATCTTGTAGTTTAGGGATAGTGTTTAAAGAAACACTATAGTGTCAGGCATACAGATATGTATTCCTCACACTATAGTCCTGAAGTGTAGAAAAAGGTGCAGGGAGGCAGCGCCTGTGGTGTTGTTCTCAAATCCAAGGTAATATGTGAAATAAGCACAGAGAACGTAATATAGTGTAGTATGTCAGGAGTTCTGCTCTTAACATTGACAAAAGTTGTACTTACAATTTTCTATGTTCAGCTCCAGATTTATGCGCATGGACGGATCTATGGATTTGGTAGTGTGTCCTCGTGCTTAGTTGGTGCGGTTCTTCGCGTGCTTTTAGTGGTAGTACAAGGTAGCCTGGCAGGGAGGTATCCTCAGTTTGCAGGAGAAGAAATAAAAACAGAATATAGTGCTCTCTATATGTTAAAATAAGGATAAAAATAAAACAAGATATACTCGCAAATGGAGGTATTGCTCAATCCCAAAGCGCTTAGGTGGTATTATCCCCACCAAGGATATCACTGTGTGAGTCTTCTGGATAAAAAAAGCTTGAAAGATAGGTCTGGAATCTCCAAATGGTATAAAATGAATAATAACCTTCATTTGGAGATAAAAAAAAAATAAGAAAAAAGTATAAAAGAATTATAAAACACTAACGCGTTTCACCCATAACAGGCTTTCTCAAAGCGAACACTTTGAGAAAGCCTGTTATAGGTGAAACGTGTTAGTGTTTTATAATTCTTTTATACTTTGTTCTTATTTTTTTTATCTCCAAATAAAAGTTATTATTCATTTTATACCACTTGGAGATTCCACTAGACTGCCACTAGACGTGTTACTAGGCAGCAATATGAACAGTGCCTTTTCCTCTGAAAAAAAACTGTGTTTACATAGAAATTCTTGCAGAGACATGCTATAGACACCAGAACCACTACACTAAGCTGTAGTGGTTCAGGTGAATATAGTGTCATTTTAAGCGTTGCCCTCTACATTCGATTTAGCAGAGAACTGTGTTAAGGTAGGTCCAAAACTGATAGATTTGGTTGAAATGCACCTGTTACTGATAGTTGTATTTATTTTATCTCAGAATATTCTTTTTCTATTCACAGCTAAGATACTTTTTATTTAGCTCTATCTGTCTTTCATACTGTCTATCCAGGGACCCTGTTGAGAAGGCATTCATGCAGATAAGCATATATTTCTTTATAAATTCCCATTCCCAAATTCCCAAAGCCTATTAATAATTAACTAAATAATCTTGGGTCATGAAGGAGAATGACATTAAACCAAAAAAAAAACATTCTGCTCTCTGACTTCAGAGACTTTGCATAAAGTTATAAAACTGGTGGAAAAATACCAATTGAAGCACACTATACATTGCTACATGTCTTTTCAAACTAAGAGCACAAATAACATTTAGTATTAGAGAGTAGCAGGCACTCAGTAGTTCTGTAGGACTAAAAGGGTTAACTGAGATACATGCTCATTGGCTAACCCTGTGGGAACAGAAAAGCTGACTAGCCTTATGGGATAGAAATGGTTAACCAAGAAAAGTGCTCATTGCTCAAATGTTATTATTATTGAAGGATATTTATCAAAGTGAGTGTTTTAAAAGGTGATGCAAAGATGTAAAAGGAAGAGCTCACAAATGGAATATGCCTGCCGATGCCAACGGGTTTTCATGGTGATTGCCCCACTCACAGTACTTTGCCCTGTTTTTCAGAATATACTTCCAGCTTTATTTACTAATGTGAGAATTCAAAATTATGTCCCTTGACACAACTTAGCGCCAAGGGACATCGGCGTGGGAATTGGTTAAATGAATAAAGGGTAATTTTACCCTTTAAAACACTATTGCTAGCACTAAAGTGTTCCTTTGGGGGCCAGAGCAGCATAAGTGAAAGCGAGAATCATTCCAGTTTGCTGATTTTGACTTTAAATTTAAAATTTACTCTAAATTCTCAAGTTTGTAAAAAAAAAAAAAAACTCTTTGATAAATTTGTCCCATTGTCATGAAAAAAACTAAATCCCACTGATTTTTAGGATTTTTACAACTGTGCTATTTTGGCCTACATTTGAAAACTCTTTTCTCAACCAATCATGCAGCTACACACATAGTCGTTTATTCACTAAATCCTTAATATTGTACTGAGGTATCCCATCCCTGTGTTATATATGATGATTGTGTGAATGAATCACTTGTACAGAAATTTAGGGGTGTTTTTTCCCACCTGTAGTGCCTTACTTTATTACACATAATTTAAACCTCCTCTGGGGTTAGCCGAAGTAAATAATTTTTTAGAACACAGAGTTAAAAATGTCATACTAGCATGACCGATCTAGCTTGCACTAACATTTCTTACAACTGTATGCAAGCAAGACTGCACAAAGTAATCTAAACAAATGTTACTCAAAGTTTGTGTTGTTGCATCTAGGTTACTCCTCCCACCTCCTCACACCCCCAGACATGTGATGCACACACCTCCTTACATGCCACACAGGAACTTTCCTCTGCTTGTCCTCTGGCAAGTCATTGTCATTACACTACCTGACATCACACTGTGTGCATTTTTATTATCTTAACCCTTCACTCGTCAGGATACAGAGTGTGGGTCACTGATGCTTCATTTTCGTTTCTATATCCTAATTACTTGAGTTACAGTTTTTCTAGAAAGCCAACTTCATTTTAAAAGAGACTGCAAAATGTAGCGTAGGTTGTAAACATGTAACACCTAAATTGTTTACATAATAAAAGTAAAAAAAATAATAATCATTTTGCTACCATGGATATTTATTAACCCCTTAAAGGACCACTATGGGCACCCAGACCTCTTCAGCTTAATGAAGTGGTCTGGATGCCATGTCCAGCTAGGGTTAACCCTTTTTTTTTATAAACATAGCAGTTTCAGAGAAACTGCTATGTTTATAAATGGGTTAATCCAGCCTCTAGTGGCTGTCTCATTGAGCCATTGAGCCACTCATTGAGAATGCTTTCCTATGGACTGGCTGAATGCCCGCGCGGCTCCTGCCGCGCATGCGCCTTCAGCCAAAGAAGAGGAGAAGTGGGAAGAGAAGAGGAGGAGAGCTCCCCGCCCGGTGCTGGAGAAAGAGGTAAGTTTAACCCCTTCCTCTCCCCAGAGCCCGGCGGGAGGGGGTCAATCACATGTTAACTTGCAATTCTCAATTTCGTAAAAAAAAACAAAAACATGAATACAGCATTGAAAAGTGTGTATAATTTGTGTTAATTTCTTGTGAGTTCCCTGTTAATGGTCCAAATAAAAAATGTTGGACTTCTTTTTCTAACTGGCTTGTATAATATTGACTTGTGTTCATAGGCGTGCGCAGGCTATTGCATTAGGGTGTGCACCCTAAAGCACAAGCACACGCCGCATATATATATGTATGTATGTATATATATATATATATATATATATATATATATATATATATACACATACACATATATACACACATACACACACTGCTGTGTGTGTGTGTGCTGTGTGAGGGTGCTGTTAGTGTGATGTGTGTTTGACGGTGCTGGTAGTGTGCTATGTGGGTGAGGGTGTTTGTGTGTGCGTGCTTGTGAGGATGCTGTTAATGTACTGTGTGTGAGGGTGCGGTTTGTGTGTGTTTGTGTGCGCTTGTGAGGGTGCTGTTAATGTACTGTGTGTGAGGGTGCTGTTTGTGTGTGAGGGTACTGGTAGTGTGCTGTGTGTGTGTTAGGGTCCTGTTTGTGTTTGTGAGGGTACTGTTAGTGTGCTGTGTGTGTGTGAGGGTGCTGTTTGTGTGTTTGTGAGGGTGCTGTATGTGTGTGTGGGTGCTGTATGTGTGTTGGTGCTGTATGTGTGTGGGTGCTGTGGGTGCTGTGTCTGTGGGTGCTGTGTCTGTGGGTGCTGTATGTGTGTGGGTAATGTGTATGTGTGTGGATACTGTATGCCTGTGGGTGCTGTATGTGTGTGGGTGCTGTGTATGTCTGTGGGTGCTGTATGTGTGTGGGTGCTGTATGTCTGTGGGTGCTGAATGTGTGTGGGTGCTGTGTATGTCTGTGGGTGCTGAATGTGTGTTGTATGTGTGTGGGTGCTGTGTATGTCTGTGGGTGCTGAATGTGTGTGGGTGCTGAATGTGTGTAGGTGCTGTGTATGTCTGTGGGTGCTGTATGTGTGTTGTATGTGTGTGGGTGGGTGATTGTGGGGGGTGGAGGTGGGGGTACATTATTTGCTATCCCCCCTCCCTTCTTACCTTTTGTAGGGAGGGGGGATCGTGCTGCTGCTTTCCCTGGTGGTCCAGTGGAGAGTGAACTCTAGCCCCTGTGGGGCTAGAGTTCACTCTCGCGAGATTTGAGCGTTGCCGTGGCAACGCTCATATCTCGCGAGAGGAACCCGGCGGAGCTGCCGGCAATAGCTGCGCCGGGTCCTCTCCTGCCTCCCTCCCTGCATGTGGGTCAGTGGGGAGGGAGGCTGAGAGCAGAGCCGGCGCTCGGATAGCGCCGGCTCTGCATGAGCCGACAGGGGAGATCCTGAGATCTCCCCTGCCGGTCTCAATATACATAGGTGTGCCACGGGGATTAGGGTGTGCCCAGGCACACCCGGCACACCTCGTGCGCACGCCTATGCTTGTGTTATCCTTTTATCTAAATATTGTTTATTGGTTATAGGAGGTTCAAATGGGAGATGTATAATTTGTGTTAATTTCTTGTGAGTTCCCTGTTAATGGTCCAAATAAAAAATGTTGGACTTCTTTTTCTAACTGGCTTGTATAATATTGACTTGTGTTATCCTTTTATCTAAATATTGTTAATTGGTTATAGGAGGTTCAAATGGGAGATGAATAAATCAGTGATTGCAATAGATCAAAAAGACCAATGTCATCTCAATTGGTGTTCATTATATATGTATGGGCCAGAGTTCAAATTCTTGTTTTTAAAGAACTGAATGTTCATTTAAAAGTGTTATGCAATCAACCACAAATAATGTGTTTGCACGTAAACTTTCAAAAGTACATTCTATTATTTTTTTAAGAGTAATGTAGAGGTGTGTTAAAGAATCATAGGCATTTTATATAATTGAAAATGCTGGTTAAAGAGCAAAATAAATGTTGCATTAGGTTTAAAGGAACACTCCAAGCACCATAACCACTACATCATGATATAGTGGTTATGTTGCCAGGAGTGCCCTGGTGTCCCCCTTTGGTGTAAGTAGTCAATCTCCATCTCCTTTAGTGTAATTAGTCAATGTTTTTGCTTACAGGTGCCAGTCACCGCCAGATGTTCTTTGCATTGACCTAAGCCTGGAGATGCGAGCTTAGCTCACTGACTGAGAGCAGTCTGGGTTTAGTTAAAGAAGTTTGAGGGCCACTATAGGCACCAAACCAGCTCACTGAAGTGGTCTAGGTGCAATGTACCTAAACCACTTCAATGAGCTGTATTGCAGTGCTAAGACAGCTACCAGACAGATACCAGAGGCGCTTCTGTGATTTTACCGGACTCTAGGCGACTGATACTCTGCATGAGGACATCCAGCGTCAGTGAAATCCCTATAGGAAAGCATTGATTCAATGTTTTCCTATGTGTTGGGCCTATTGCACTTGCAGAACTTGCCGCGCATGCACATTAGGTTGGAGCACCAAGCTAGCTGCAAGGGACATCCGCGCTGTATTCGGATAAGCAAAATAAAGGGTTTTTAATCTTTTACATGCCAGGGGGAGGAGGGGTTGGGGGTTCACAAACATTTTATTTTGAGTGCAGTACAGCATATGTACAG